ACTTGACAGGCTTGACAGAAGCCAGAATTCAGCAGGCATGGCCATGCAGAGAGGGGAAGTGTAACCTTAGCATCAGTGGCTTTAGAGCAAGAGGGAGCACAGACAAACCCTTAGCTGGTACTGAAAAAGCTGGCAGAGACGATGTGGGGACAGGGTGGTAAGGGAGGTGGGAAGTTGCCCACTGCACCAGGACTTCTTCAAGGCTACTGCTGGCCTCACCATGGTGTCACGTATTTCACAGTGGCACTTGCAGTGTCATGGACATGGCTGGTTAAGGCTTAGCAAGATAAACCTTCCTTGGCTGCCATGCAGCAACCTGTAACCTCAGCCCACTCTGCATGCCCCAGACTTCTCCACCAGCCTTGACATGAAGTCCACTGAAGAGATGTTAAACCCAGCTGTCGTGTGGAGCAGGAACCACTGGGTGTCTGGTTCCACAGGGAGGACACCCATGGCAGTGCAGAAGGAGCAACCACTCTGCCCTGGGAGCTCAAGAAAACAAGGCCATCCTGCTGCCAGCCTCACAGGGCAATTTGCAGGAGCCCCATCTGTAATACAGCTTTGTGTGGGAGGAGAACATCATCCTCTGCCTTTGTTAACGTGACCACCACTACAGCCTTAGGTGTGTTGTCTAAGATCTCTTCGAAGTGAAGAGACAAATATAAAACAAGGAAGCATGAATTAGTACAGGAAAATAACAGACACTTCAGATAGATAATTGCACTGTAGCAGGAAGGAAGAGGAACCTGCTGTCTATCTGGACTCCTGCACTTTCTCTTATAATCTTTTCGTCTTCCTTATAATTTTTATTTTTCTTTTGCTTTTCTCAAGTTTGTTCCCATCATCTCAACAACACGGGCATCACAATTTACCTGGAGCTCTACACGGAGTCTACAGGCTCTGTAAAGAAAGCACCCAGTTGCGAAATCTGCGTTAAAGTACTGCACTGTCAATTCGCACCCATTTACATTTCTTCAGCCATACCCATGGCTTTTAGTATAAATGGTTCTGAGTTACTTGGAGTTTGGTAATGTCATTTGAGTTGTCAATATCAGGAGCTTCTTGGCTCATGGTAAAAATGAAACCCAGGATCAACACAATAGATGCTGTATTTCCAAAACATAACAACAAAGATGCCAAAAGGTGAGTAAAGCCCATTTCTGCTGCCTCCCAAGTGCTAACACAGAGCCTGTGCACTTCAAGAGTCCAACCCTTACTCCTGAGGACACAAGTCCTTAAAGATCCTGGAAAAGTAATGTGGATAGAAATGCAGAATTCAAGATCTTTGCAGAGGAAAGGCTCTATGGAAGTACAATCGCACAGAAACTGGAGCATTCATTAGGAAAAGGCAACAAAATTAAACTGACACTGATTTAAATCAGCTCATATTTTAATTGGTTCACACACGATCTTTCTGTTTGTACACAAGTTCCTGGGCTCCTTTAAGAAGAGATCAGCTCTATAATCTATTCTGAAGAAAATCAAGAAGCAAATGATTCGGGAAGCTAAAGTCAAGTTGTACAATTATGTATCCCTAAAAAGGGAGGAGAAAAGAGAAAAGTATTGTATTAGTTTATGTCACACTCCCAAGAAGGGCTTTGAGAGCCAGGTATTTCTGAACTCTGCTTACCTTTCTTGTGATGATCTCAGGATTTCTGATCTCAAATAGATGAAGCCCTTTGCTGTTCATCAGTGAAGTCAAAGCTGGTTCGATCCCTGTGGAATCAGTAAACCCATCCAGTTACAGGTAACAGCGTCCTGGCTTGCTGCTCATCATGTACTGCTACCTTTTCTGCCTCTTGCCAAAAGCTAGTTGTGCCTCAATGCCCCATAAATTCAAGCCTGACAGAAGACTCACTTTTCCTTTGTCCCAGTCATTTACAAAGGGTTCTCCATTCCCCAAGTGAATCCAGCAGAAATTTGCCTCAGTAATGTGGTCCCACCAAGCTGTCAGGGTTATTTTATTGATGTATTTTTTAATACTTAGGTTTAGGAGATCTGGTGTTAGACACTTTAATGGAGTAGGCTGGCAATTCCCCAAAGGGAAAACTCACTTGAAATCACTTCTGGGATCCCAACAACTGATATCATTGTCTGCAGGAAGTTTCTTATGGATGGGTCATTCTGAAAGCCAGAAAATTCATACAAAAAGGTTTTAAATACATCGTTCTGCCACAGATGGGCTAGAGAACACTTTCTTAGGACTCACCTCACTTGGATCAGCTGTGCAGTTAAAGACTTTAAACTCTATCCTGAAGGGAAGGAAAAAAAGGAGAGAGGGGAAGTCCCTAAGGGCTGCAGAGATCTTCTTTCCGTGCTGCTCTCAGATACAGGCTGAGAGAGACAGAGAAACCCCCCAGAGACCACAGTACCAACCTGGATTCCAAAGGGTGCAAAATGAGTTTCTTTTCTGCATAGGTAGCTTGGATGGTGACCGTGATTTCCTGCACAAAGATGAACAGCAGGGTTGAGACATGGCTCATCTTGCCTTACAGCAGCGAGTTGCATTTGGTCATTCTGGTTTACTTTCTATGACCCAGAGTTCAACATCCTTCTGGCTTTACCTCCAGATATTACTAGAGAAGGTCAGCATTTTCCTTCTCTCTTTGCATGCAGTGAACTCCCTCCTGATGCCCACAGCCTCAGCCTGTGGTGTTCTAGACTGGCTTATCTACAGGACTGATGTATTTACCATTTTGTGAACCAAATCCTGCATATGCAGGAAGGAAATGGTTACATAGAGTGGTGTTTCCCAATGACCATCCAGCTCAACATGAAAAATCATCAGACTTGATGTGGAGAGAACAGCCAGGGATACCACAAGTAGCCTTTCTATAGTATTTGCATTTATAACTAAACTAAAAAAGAAAGCAATCTCTGAATTCTGGCCATTTAGGCTCATTTTCTTGTTTCCGCCTGTATGCAAACGTTCATTTAAAAGGAGCATTTTGTGATCCAGGAGGCTGGCAGGTCAGGAGCAGACCACATCCGGAGAGCCACATTTTTGGGCACCACCTCTAGTCCAGTAGTTTCCTACCAGAAATTAGTTTCAAGAGATCACCTGGAGCACAAAGACCAGCCAAGCCTGTTTCCCTGGAACACCCTGCTAGTGTGGGATGCTTGCAGAGGGCAGGAGGGAACTGTACTCAATTACAGTTTAACCCTTTAAACTGAAGAGGCTGGTCTACCCTAGGCAGGGATTTGCTTTTATGCAGTGCTTAGTGTTTGTACCAGCCCATAATTACAAGGCTGGACAGACATACTGCTTTCTTGTGATGTTACCCATGACAGCAAGGCTGTTGGATTTCTTTTTTCTGCCTCCTTAGATTCAGTATAAAGGAGTAGAGGGTAAAACACAGTGTAATCAGGAACTTTCATAAAGGCATACATAGCAGACAAGGTTATATTTTGAGCTTCACGTTCTCCAGAGCTGTACCTTCATGTCAGAATCACCCATCCTCTAAGTGGGGGCCAGAGCTAGAATTTGGGAATGAGGTGGTTACAAAATAAATACATTCCCGTGGTGCCTTCATTCTCACTTAAAATACCTTAGCTAAAGGGTTTCACTGTGACTGGTACAGGTTAATGGGGGCTCATCAGAGCATTCTGCTGCTTTTACCACCTTGCACACCAGTGATGGGCTAGCCTAATACAGGAGGCCTTGAGCCAGCATGATTGGTATCATCATTCCCAGCTCTAGATGTTAAGGGAAGAGAGGGAGTGTTAAAAGGAACTGACATGCTTTCTCCACCTCCCACGGTTTACCCACCCTTCTGAAGGTCTTCACAGTCAGGAGAAGCAAGAACTGACCTTCTCCATGTACAGAACCATCAGGGACTCTTCTCCTGCAGAAAGGGTGCTGACCTCCACTGCTACCAAGGACTTCACGACTGTCCCTTCAGGCTGGACAGAGATTTGGGGATGGGCAAGACTCCACACCTTGGCCACAGAATCATTATAGGAGGTGCCTTGAAAAATCTGGTCAAGAAAGGAGCAACAGAAGAGTCATGCTTTTTCCCAGTTTCACGCCAATTTGCCACACAAGTGCATCCCTTTTGTAGTCTCCAATTTTTCCTCCAGCTCACACAAGCCCAATAATTCAGCTGGGTTGGAGGGAAGCTGTGCCAGCTTGGATGGTGAAGAAATCCTCCTTGCAAAACACACAGTTTCTCTATCAGTCCCTGGTATTCCCCATCAGGCTCACCCAAGATTCAAGTTGTCAAGGGAAGGATACTGTTGTTAAGGTGCAGCAGAATCTATTTGAAAAGTTCTTCATTTGACATAAAATGCTGTGAATAAGACCAAAATTTACCATCTGCACTGCATTCCGCTGTGCTTCCGTGTCTTCCATTTCAAACAGCACCTTCAGAAACAAAGCAGAAACAGGTTGTAGAAAAGCAAAAGAGCAGGTTGTGGTCAGCCCTGATGCAGACTGGATGGCCAGAGTGGCTTGTGACCAGGTCAGAGGCATGGCTGAATTACCCCTGAACTCACCCGTTGGCTACCTCAGTACTCTTACAGAAAGCCACATCACTTTGCAGTTCAGAAGGCAAGTTTTCTACCAGCTGGTGTTTCTGCTGTAAGGGATAACACTGCCTCGTAGCACATTCTTGCTAAGAATGCACAAATCTCCAACCAGGATCACATGTAGTGACTGACTACAGATTTCTGTCTTCTACAGAAACTAACCCTCACAAAAAAAAAACAAAACCAAACACGGCAAGAAGGGAACCACCCTGAAATCACCTGCAACTCCTCTCCTCTGATGGTCAATTCCAGACGGTTATCTAAGAAAGCTGCTGAAGCCAAAGAGTTGAGGATGTGTTCTGACAGCCAGAAGTAAAGCATCCGGGACTCAGTCAGCAGTGACGGGGAGAAAACAGAGTCAGTGAAGACATTGGAGTAGTTCTTGTACAGGACAAGGCCCTTTAAAGGGAAGCAAGCATGTTGGCCTCCACAAGCAGCCAGCAGACAGGACAAGGTGTCAATACCTGCATTCCATTGCAAGGCGAAGGCTGTACTCGGGGCAGAGCATGAGCTGTGTGCCCAGGCAAAGGGCTGGCATCAGCCCACGCTGCAAATACAGATGCAGCCCATGCTCTGCATGGCAGCAAAGGACCAGCCTCTTGCAGCCCTCCTGCGAGCATTATCCCCAGAAAACCCTTGGTTACTGAGCAGCATGAGTTACTTTACCTTGTGGTGGGATTCTAGGTAATTTGCTTTTATTAAAGGAACTGATGCAAGGGAGATATCAACACTGATACCTTCATCCCGGACAAAATTTTCTGCAGGAAGAAAACACCAAAACCTTTCACCAGAAATGTGACTGTGGGCACAGCATGTGGCAGTCACTTTTAGGACTTGCTGCAGAAGGTGACTGGGAGTTACAAAAGGACACAGAGATGACTCTTCATTAGGGACTGTAGTGACAGGACAAGGGGCAATGGGTTTAAACTTAAACAGGGGAGATATAGGTATAATGAAGAAATTTTTTACAGTGGGAGTGATGAGACATTGGAACACGTTGCCCAGGGAAGTTGTGACTGCACCATCCCTGGCAGTGTTCAAGGCCAGGTTGGATGGGGCTTGGAGCAACCTGGTCTAGTGGAAGGTGTCCCTGCCCCTAGCAGAGGGTTGGAACTGGATGAGCTTTATAAGGTCTTTTCCAATCCAAACCATTCTAGGATTCTATGATGGGACTAAGGGATCCCACTCCTTTGGGTGCTAGCGCTGGATCCTGCTATTGCGCAATGACTCCCTTTGAAATAGCGGGAACTACTCTCAGTTCTACATTCCTTTTTTTTTTTTTTTTTCCATTCCGTATCCTTTTCCCTGATACTTGGGACTGGGAACCATGGGAAAATCATCAGCAGGCATATACAGATGCTATAATATCTCACCCCAATACTCCAATGCATGTTACTGTGCTAGCTAACATCAGTCCTTCTGTAGCAATTCTGCACCTCTGGTCATTATATGATGAAGGAGAAATACCTCATGAACTGAGGTATTTCATGTCTTTGAACCAGTGCAGTCACCCTTAAAAATCAACCTGATACAGAAAAATTCAAACCAGAACTTTGCCAAGGTTTATGTTGCGTTTGTCTAAGGGCTTGGGATCCCACATACAGTTTCAAAGGATTTTTTTGGTGGATGTAGCTACTGCCCTGCTGGGGCTTAAGCATTAGAAGTTGCATTAAAAGTTGCACATAAAAAAGAAAGCAGAAAACCCAAGGATATTTACCTGCTAAATCATGTACAAAATTTGCCAGCACCTGGGCAAGAAAATGTATTTCGTTGCACACCTGCAAGAGGAAAAGGAGAGGGGTTCGGCTTGTGGAGCACAGTGGGGCCTCATGGTGAGACCTGCGGACCGTTCTTCAGTCCGGCAGCATCCAAGATCCCAGTGTCAGTACAACCTATGACCCCCATCCAAGCTGGGGTGAGTACAGGTTTTGCGGATTCTATTTATTTGTGTTATTTTTGCAAGCACTAAAATGCTATTGTTATTATGGCATACATGAACAGAGGAGTGTGTAGCAAACTGACCTTTCTCCATCCACAGGCAGTGTCTGATCTTACCTCGCTCTTGAGAACGAACTTCAAAGTGAAGGAGATGAAATCCGTGAAGAGCTGCTTCAGCCAGCCTGGTCTGCACAGAACATGAGCATGGTCCGAGACCACACAGCAGTCCCCAGGGTGAGTGATGCTTGGGCTGAAGCACCTGGGGGCCAGCAGCTGGGCAAGTGCTGCCCAACTTTGAAGGGGGACAGACTCACTCCTTGTCTCCTTGCAGGTGAAGTGTGAGTTTGTGGAAAGTCAGGTAGCAGTCCGATGCATCGGCAGCCACTTGGTCCTTCTGGCACACTGCATGGGATGAAAGAGAAAAGAAAAAACAGCTAATTTGCTATCGAGATGAGGAGGACAAGTGTACTTTGCAGACCCTGCAGACCTGGAGCAGGGCATCACTGCAGAGGGGCAGCCAGAGTCTCCCACACCTCCCGGACCATGTTTCCAAAAGATTCAGGACCCTACAAAGCTGAGGCTGATGAGGCTACCTTGGACCTGGATGAAGGGTTTCTGCTCACAGCTCCAGCAGACCTAGGGTACCAGGCACCCTTCTTTACACTTCATTTGGATACCAGTTCCTATCATGAGGAACTTTGTTGTCTCCTAACATCACCCAGGAGAACCTAGGCAGTATGTACAACCCACAGACCAGAGCGCAGAGGGAGTTAAATTGTATTGAAAAACATTAGGAAATTGCAGTATACTGTCATCGAGATCTTCATTCTGCTCTCCCCCTGGACCTTACCAGGAAAATGTATTTTGAGGCAGGTAAAAGGTATTTTGAGGCCCATGTGATAACCCACATCCCTCTTATCCTTTATGGGAGGTTTGCCTCTGTCCCTTTCTAGTCTAGGTCTCTTGACTTTCGCAAGGAATAGGCTTCGCAGAAATTTTTTATAGCAGTTTCCTCTGCTTGATCCATTAAAACTACGAGGTCATTGAGGGCTATGTGGTCTCCTGTCCTGTATGCACAGGGTGGCAGAGACCCACATGAGGCTCCAGCTGCCACCCAGTCCCCACAGACATGAGCGGAGCTGGCCACCTGCTCCTTCCTGCAGCTCTGAAGGAAGCACACACACCAAGACCCTTGCAGCCTGTGATCCCCAGCTGTTACTTACTCAGTTTAATGTTTATCTGGAGGTCAATGGAAGACTCGATTTCAAAATCAACTGAATGAAAAAGCTGCAAACTGTAATGGCAGAAGAGAGAACATTTAGCAACCTGAATGCTTAATGGGATGCATCTTCGCCCTGACCCCCTGACAGCCACAGGATGGGTTTTATGACACTTTTCACATCAGTCACATCAGTGTAAAACCCCAACATGGAGCAGTACATTCAGATACTCTGGCTTTAAATCGTTGCAAACCACTGCCTTAGGAGCACTCAGGAGACCAGGAGCGTTAAACCTCTTTTTTCCACCACTCAAAGTATATAGAGCAGCAAAGGGGAGGGAAGAACTTGTATGCTTTGGCCGTTTGTCTCCTCATGGGTGATGGTGAGGACAGAAAGGCAAAAGGCAGGGTGAGAAGAGCAGTGATGGGGCTAAGCAGCACTTAGAGCATATAAAACCTTGTCTCATGTAGGCAGTAAGCAGTGCTGCCATCCAAGAGAGCCTGAGGAGTGCAGCCCCTCCACAGCAACGCATATATGTGGCAGCAGCAGAAGAGGGGGCCATGGTGTTTGATAGCAGCCAGCCCCCAGGTACTTACAACCAGGCCCCAGCATAGCCATAGTTTAGGGTCCCTTTGAAGAAGGCTGTCACATTTTTAATGGCAATGTGAATGGCATCGTTCTCCTTGAGCTCCACCTCACTCTGCTCAATAGACAAGTCATTTACTCGTATGCTGGAAAAAACAGAAACGTGGTTTGTCACCAACCCCAAGGCTGTTTTCTGTGACCAGCGAGACAAGTTTGCCACTGAGGACTTGGGATCCCTGAGAGGCCCCTGCCAACCCTGCACTTTGGAGCTTTTCCAAATTACAGGGGTGGAGCCATGCACAAGGACAACAGTGATTTTGTTCAGCCTTGGTGCACTGCTGCTCCCCAGCGATGGTCAGGGATGAGGCAAAGGGAGTGATTTAAGCAGGAAACAGAGCACTGTGGTGCAGAAACAGCCTGTTTTCACAGAAACCCAGCCTGGTTCGGGTTGGAAGGGACCTTAAAGCTCATCCAGTTCCAAACCCATACCAATGGCAGGGACATCTTCCACTAGAACAGGTTGCTCCAAGCCCAGTCCAAGCTGGCCTTGAACACTGCCAGGGATGGGGCAGCCACAACTTCTCTGGGCAACCTGTGCCAGGTCCTCAGCACCCTCACAGGGAAGAACTTCTTCCTAAAATCTCATCTCAATTTCCCCTCTGTCAGGTTAAAGCCATTCCCCCTTGTCCTGTCCCTACAGGCTCTTCCCAAAGCCCCTCTCCAGTTTACTTGTAGCCCCTTTAGGTGCTGGAGCTGCTCTAAGATCACCCCAGAGCCTTCTCTCTTCCAGGCCGAACAAGCCCAGCTCTCTCAGCATGTTTCATTGCAGTGCTCTGTGTTCACTGCAGACACAGCAGGAAATCCTTCCTGTGTTTGCACCAGTGCATTTGTTAGCCCAAATAATACATCAGCAGCCTAAACCTCAACGTACAAATTGTCTGCAAGGTGCAGATCAGAAAGTGCTTCTGTCCCAGTTCAGACCTTTGCTTTCACCAGGAATTGCTGGACCAAAGCTCCCCCCAAGGCCAGTTCATGTTCCCCTCTGTCAGCCCACATCTCCCTGGGCACAGGGATGCAGAGACACTCACTTGGTCAGCCCATAAGCCACCTTGCCGAGGAGCCGCATGGACCTTTCCCCGGTGATATTTGGGAATTTGGCATTTCTGAATGCTGCTTGAATGACCTGTGCTGTTTCCTGGTTCACTGTTGGAAGAAAAGTGCAAAGATACTAAACTGCAACCTGTCCTGGCTGCAAAGCCAAGTCCGCACCCTGGATTCAAGCACCACGGAAGAGTTTCCATCAAGGCATTCCCATTAGATTAAGGAACCACTAGAAGTAGTTTCAGAGCATACTAAAGACAAAAACAACCCCAAACCTGACTTTAAGAGCTGGGGACAGCTGGGGACAGCCATGTGTGGGCTGGGCAGTCACCAGCCAGACTGCGCCCGGAGAATCAAGCCCCACTTTCACACACTTCATTTGCACCTTAGGGTGGACTTTGAAAAGGTTGAAGGTCTCTCATCCTTACACTGCACTTTTGTGCACAACCTTACACTGTTGACGTTTTCACCCTGCTGCTTTCCTTTGTTGCTGCTTACTTGTATTGCAGCCAGCTGTTGGGTCTCCAAAGGAAAACTTCTGAGATTCAAGTTTCTGTACCCATTTTTCTAATGTTATCCAGACAATTCCAGCCTCCGCAACAGGTGCAAGCTTGTACTGGATTTCTTCCTTCCAGAAATACCCTCTCTGAGTTTGGCCGAGCATCCTTCTCTGCATGTCCCACTGTTGGAGGGGATGGGACAGAGCTGCTCCCACCCTTTGTGCAAGCACTAATTATTCTCTTTCCATCTGCAGACCTCCCAGAGCCTTGCACAGAAACCCCAGCAGCAGAGAACCCTTGCTTCTCCCCTTCTGTGCTCCCAGCCCAAGTGAAGTGAGAAATCAAACATACATTTGCTCTAGCTCTTCCATCACACCAGCCTCCAGTGAATAACACTGCTAAAGGTTTGGGCTGTGGAGAGGGCTTTGGGATTGTTTTCTAGCTCCTTTAAGAAGTTGTGCCTATTGAGTTCAGGTGCCCATGCTTTAACCCATGCTCCCAGGCAGGTATTAACATATCTTATGGGATAAACAGTTTCCACAAGAGCCAGGGAAGCAAGAAACATGCTCCCTTGGCTGCTCTATCGCTAATTTGTAGTGGGGAGTGGAGAAGCGCAGCCCATACTTCAGGCACTTACACAGCAACGCTGCAGGCTTGGTCATCCTGCAGACAATCCCCGTGACGCTGTAAGGGAAGGGCCCAAACTCGCAGGCTGCCGACACATGGACGAGCACTACCAAGATCCTGAAGGTCCCCAGCCTCATCCTGCCAGCCCAGAGCTTCTTCAGCTAGAGCGGAGAGCGCTAACAAGACCGACTGCTTCTTGACTGTGGCAAAGGCTGCTTTCATACCTCCAAGCAGTGCTCATTCGAAGCAGGACATGACCTGCTTCCTCTGGTTATCAAAACTCATCACACATTTCCTAATCTTCCTATAGTTTCCTTAACACTCTTCAAGTTGCACGCTGCCTTCCTCCCACAGCAGGCACTTGGGCTGCAGGACTTGGCACTCCTGCCAAGACTGCTTTAACTCAGGACATGCACACATCAAAGCGAGCAGACAAAGCTGGAGGGGGATGGAGATTAGGAGGGGATAAAGTCAAGGGAGCAGCCTCATGCTCTGCCTCCAGCCAGTTCATCATTTGCTCTTCACACAGAAATATTCCATATTCTCCATTCCTGCAGTAACTTCATAGAATCCGAGACTGGTTTGTATTGGAAGGGAGCTTAAAGCTCATCCAAAGCTCATCCAGTTCCAATCCCCTGCCACAGCCAGGGGCACCTTCCACTAGAGCAGGTTGCTCCAAGCCCAGTCCAAGCTGGCCTTGAACACTGCCAGGGATGGGGCAGCCACAGCTTCTCTGGGCAACCTGTGCCAGGGCCTCACCACCCTCACAGAGAAGAATATTTTCTTCCCAGCAAAGCACTATCTGAATCATACCTCTGTTATTAACTGCTTCCCCTTCTACTGATTTCCTTTCCACAGTGGAGAAACTGAGGCATGCTCCTGGAGAGGGGAGCCCTCCTGCTAATACTGCTCTGTGAGTGCACATATCTAACATCTCTGGATGGATCCCCAGGACCGCAGGACCTGGGAGCTCTCTGCCTCTTGGCTGGATTTCTGGGCCATCTTTTGTTTGGCACATTCAGGATGGAGAAGAACCCACTAAGCTGGAGCCTTCCATGCAGCTAGCCTCTCAGCTGCTACTTAGGAGACATTAGAAACTAGGTTCAGATGCACACCTCACGCACCCACCATCCCATGGCACCCTGTTGTGGTGCAGAAGCCCATCCCAGAATGAACTGCAGGACAAAACAGGGTGAGCTCATTTCATAAAGAAGCTGCACAGCAGCATCTTCTGTGAGCAATTTAGCCAGCAAAGACGGACAGAGAAGGAAGTGTGAGATCTTGCAGCATTGCAGGGCCACACTCAACCCCCAAGCAAGGCAAGGTGCCAGCCGCCCTCCTCTCCCTGGCAGGCACTTCGTGCTCCCTGCTCCGGGTGAGGACACTTCCTCTGAGCCCTGCTGCCCGGCCCCGCTGCACTGTTTGCGTCCGGAGTTGAGAAGTGAATGGCCTCAGGTACCCGCGGGGCACTCGCGGCCACTGACCTGCTCAGCAGCTGCCACAGCCTCATCCAGGCAAGCAGCCTGGGACAGGCTCCCTGCTGAGAGCCCATGCTCATGGTAAGTGAACAAGCACATTTGACAAAGGCTTGTAGGGAACAGGACAAGGGGGAATGGCTTTAACCTGAGAGAGGGGAGATTGAGATGAGATCTTGGGAAGAAGTTCTTCTCTGTGAGGGTGCTGAGGCCCTGGCACAGGTTGCCCAGAGAAGCTGTGGCTGCCCCATCCCTGACAGTGTTCAAGGCCAGCTTGGATGGGGCTTGTAGTAACCTGTTCTAGTGGAAGGTGTCCCTGCCCATGGCAGGGGGTTGGAACCTGGATGGGATTCTGTGATAATTTAGTATCTGGAAGCATGTATAAAGGTAGCAGGTGCCCGACCAGCAGAGCTTCCACATGGCAGCCCAGTGCCATCACCTCAGTTACTGTGGCATCCTCACAGCCCTGGCTAAGAGGCCCCTTGTCAGGGAAGCTGCAAATGGCAGACCTGGTAGAAAAGGATTTTCAATTGAAGAGGCTTTAACCATATAACAGCTCTGGCTTCTGCTCTTCTTCAGCTGAAGAAGCCCACACGCCCTTCCCTCCCCACAGATCACAGTTTAAGTGATATACAGTGCCAAAGAGCTGGGGTCACAGTAGAAGTGGGTGCCACCAGCACTGAGCCAGTGAAGCACTTAAGTTGGCAGAGACAGGGTTCTGCTGGATGTCAGACGAGCACATCCACCAGCATTCTTGGCACCAGTGATGATGATATAAACTCAGGCATGCTGTGCAGTTTGAGTTTTATTGGAACAGATCCAGAGCAGCAAGGAAGCAGCCCCACTCAGGCTGGTCTCAGTCAATGTAGATGAAAGCAGAGCAGAGCCCAGGAGGACACAGCCACCCCACTGCCCAGAGCAGCAATTCATACCAGCATGAAGAAAAAGGAGAACCAGAGCAATCTAATACAGGTGTGTTTGTCACTGATGTCCCAGGATAGATACAGGCAGAAGGACCAAGAACTCAGACCCAGTGTGCTGGTCCTGGTAGACCCAGTGCATTGACAGCTCCTTACAGGCCAGCTTCCCTGCCCCATCACCACTTGGGAAGCTGCTGCTCTGATGACCTGAGCTGAGAGCAAGAGAGGACAGGAGACTGCTGGGCATTGACCTCCAGCAGGAACAGGAAGGCTGGAGACTTCCCACCTACAATAACAAAAGCATGTGGAACATGGAGATGCTACAAGCACCCCTGCCCTGGAGTAACCAGGCAGAGGCCAGGGCAGCAGGGACACAGCAGCCCCCTCCTCCCAGTGCAAGGTCAGACTAGCAGGAGACAGGTCAGATTTGAAAGCCCTATAGAAAGGTTAAGTTTGGCTAGCAGGAGGCAGGGTAGGCTTGAAATGCCAGAGAAAGGTTAAATGCCCAAGCTGCTGCATAATGCTTGCAAAGGGGACACTGGAAGATGTTTTGATAAGTACTTGCTGCATAAGGCTTTGTCTGAAGGCCATGCATACACACGATGTGCTTACCATCTTGCTGGGGATTGTCCTGTAACTGGAGTTGTTTTTCCCCACACTATCCAGAGCAGAGGTACATCACAGCACTATTAATCTTCATGCTGCATTGACCCTAAACCCTCAGTGTTACCCTGCAGCTGCTTCCTGCGATAGCCTCCAGGTACCACGCTGCCTTCTGCTCTGTCAGCAGGACAGGCCCAGCACCACACCAGGCTCAGGCAGCAGCTCAGCCCTGCTGGCAGGAAGTCAAGGACAAAGCTCACATCTCACCCCTGCGTCCAGTGCTTACGAGGCCCTGGTCAGTCCCATGGAGACCACAACCACGAGCCCTGCACTGTCCATAGCTGTGCTGACCAAACCCCAGCAATGGGGATCTTGAGTTGAAAAGACCTCTGAAAAGAGCTTATTTCTCACAGTTAAAAATTACAACTGTGACAGCTCGGATATTCAACAGCAAATAAATTCAAACTCCTATTTGTGAACAGTGAGATTTTAACAGGCTCTCACCTGGGAAGTAAACCACCTGTGAGGCTTTTGTGAACAATCAAGTCTCACATGGTTTTCTACAGAGTTCTCCTGAAACCAACCCAATTTCTTCTCTTCCCTACCAGTATCATCTGTAACAACCTCCATAAAAACCCATAAAAATAAGCACACACAGGCTAGCCCAGGCTTTTCACCTGAGGCTGCCCAGGGCAGCAGGGTTGGAGCCTGGAGGAGCTGCATCTGTTTCTGCACTGCCAAACCCAGACTGGAAAAGCAGCAAATAGAACTTTCAGTGCTAATATAAGAAAACTGGGAGGTCCTCCTGCAGCACAAGCCACTGAACAGACACAAGACATAGGCCTAGTAGCAGAATGTCCCAGCATTTCCCAGCCCTCCTGGGCAGGAAGCTCAGCATTAACTGACCTCTAGCCCCTCACTGCAGGTTTGTGACCCTGGCTGAGCACCAGGTCCAGCTTACCTCTATGATATCACTCGATTTGATATTCAAGCAACATAAATACAAGCAGATATTTCAAGAGCTGTTCTTAGGAAGCACAGGCTGGGATGAGGTGATGGAGGTGCAGTTGGCATGTTTGGCAACTTGACTGGGGAAAAGGGGAAGACACCTTCAAATCCCCCACCCAGCTTATCTGCTCAGCAGCAACCTCATTCTCATAAGATTTATGTTCCATAAGATGAGGACAGGAGCATGCCTTGGTGACAAACAGGACTTCAGTAACTCTGTAAGTAAGCAGCCTGTTAGAAGTTTCTGCAGAGAAGATAGACACCTGAGAAGACAAACTAGACTACACATTTCTCCCTTGGCTCTTCCAGGACAGAGGTCTGCTCTCAGCAGGGGGAACCACATGAGCAGAATCACCCAGCTTGAAGTGTGGCCAAGACAAACCCAGCTTCCTAAGCCCACAGCCTTGAGGCCCTTTCCCTTCTTCACAATTTGTGTCACAGCACAAGTCATGTTATTTCCAGAAAATCTCCTATGCTTTTTCAGCAGCCTTGCTCTGGAAATTTCAAGGCTCAAATCACTGACATGGGTTGCCCAGAGAAGCTGTGGCTGCCCCATTTGTACGGGGCTTGGAGCACCCAGCTCCAGTGGAAGGTGTTCCTGCCTGTGGCAGGGGGCTGGAACTGGATGAGCTTTACAGTCCCTTCCAACCCAGACCATTTTGTGATTCTATGATACAATTCTAGTGTCTAACCTAAAGTCACTCAACTAACTCAAGGTCCATGCTCCTGTCTCATGCCAGCAGGCATACAGGCCATCTCCCCCCTTCCTCACCATCACTATTTACACATCTCACTGTTCCCATTGCCCTTCCACTAGGCTGAGCTGCCTCCATCCCCCCTCCACCACTCCCACACCTTGGCCATCCCCACTTGGTCCCAGGCTGTCTCAGGCAAAGCCAAGGCATCCCTGGTGAGGGATTAGCAGCAATTAGAACTACACCACACTCAGCTCCACATACCACCAGGCTGGCCCAGTCACTGGTGCCCAGTGCCTTCATTCAAGCTCTGCTCATTCCCAGTGCTTCCGCCAGGATGCAGCAGAATTACACACCAGTTACTCACATGATCCACCCAGCGCCCCCAGTGTAGTCAGGAGTTTCCCTCCACCCCAGAGATGCATTTCACTAAGCCATCCAGGAGATGTCCTCCAAGGGCCAGGAGCCTTACCACATGCCTCCAGCAGCATGAGCTATGCGTAATTAGTTTTCCAGCTAATTTTAAACCAATCTGCCTACCCGTGGTAGCAGCAAAAGCCTCAAAACACAAGAGATGCTTTGCCATCTCTGGTAACTTTTCAGATTAAAAATTTCACAAATAATCCAGCACTTGGTGCTTGTTGCTTAAACCACACCAAACCCATTCAGCTCTGGCCGCCGAAAAACTGGCAGATTTGCTCCAGGCTCAGGCATATCTCTGTAGATTTAGGCACTTTGAGACACCTGAGTGATTAGACACACCCTGAAGAAAAAAATTCATCATCCTGAGCACAAGTAGACTTACTACTAGCAAAAGAGAGAACACTGCTTGTGCAAACATCCTCAAAGGCTTATGCAGAATATACCCTAAGTAACAACAGTCATCTCTCAATTTATTTCACAGCATTTAAATCCTTCATTGCTAAACTCTACCCATCATCCCCAAGCCTCCAGCAAACTGAAGCTGTGGCAGGAAAAACCTACTTGGTTAAGAGGTTGAGAAAGTAAACTTGTTCAAAGCCAAAAATATTATCACCAGTGTTAAACTTGCTACTGCAGGTGAACACCACACATCTAGCATGAGTGTGATCTGAGGCAGCAAGATCAAGCACTGCCAGCTGGGCTGTTACAACCACTTGTACCAGCTTGTGTGTGTCAGCCCTGATGAGACACTCCTTTACAAAGTTTTGCCAACTGCAGGTAGCAGAGAGGAAAAGCGCTACAAGTCTCACAAGTAGCTGCTGTTCTGGGCAGCACATTTCAAGCCAAGATAATGCACTGCAGCATCACCAGAGTCACACACAGGACTCAAGGCATCAAACTCCACTTCCCAAATCCCTGCAGAATTACCTGCTTAAGGGTGTCCATGGCAGCAGCCTTCAGTGAGCAAGCACAAGCTGCAAGCTATCCCTGGCACCTTAAATGCTGAAGGTTGCTTCATGAAGAATACAGTTTGGCAAGGAGCCGAGTTTAAGGCTCTGTGAGCACTTTTTCCCTTCACATCCCAGCTCATTTATCATGATTTTACAGTAAAAAGGTGAGAGCACATCCTGTGCTTTGCACAGGTGGTCTTCTGACTGCTGTACAAGTTTGGATATGAATGCCTGCAAAGTTTTATTGGAATCAAAGCCCTTGACCATATCAGAAATTAAAGGGAACACAATGAAGTAACACAAGGTGGTTGCTCTGCAGTAAGAATGCATCAAAATTTAACACAGGCATAAGTCTGCTTTAACTTTGCATCCAAAATCAGTGAAGAAGTTCAGATCTTGCATAAATTCTTGCTAGTTAGGGCTGGACACACTCTCCTCCCATGATCTGCTAGGGGAAAATTAAGCCTTGAGTTTAAACTACCTGAATTTGGGGCAAGATGAAGTTTAGCTTGCAACTCCAATGAGGTAACTGCTTTAAGAAGTCACCTTCTTCGGAGACCTCCACTTCATCCAGCAAGGAAATTGCACCATACATCCTTCATAGGAAAATATTCACACAAATTTTAAACTATTGTTGAAGCAATTTAACAATAGATCTAAAAATCTGCAATCTGCTAATGCTTATCTAGCAATCTTGTTTTTTCTTTTGAGATCCTACACTCAGTGTAATTTAAATAGCATTTGAGACATTCCAACAGGAATCACATTGCACAGAAGCAGCAATTTGCTTCTGTAACAGTTTTGCACACCTGCTTAAAGCCTGTGCATTTAGTGCACAAGTTCACAATGCCAAGCCTCAACATAGGTAACTAATAAACGCTCAGAACAAAGTTCTTTGGTCTAAGGGCAAGCATCTCAGTCTCTAGGCTGCAATGACCTAAGGCTTCTTGCAGTTTTATTTGCTTGGTCAGTGAAAGCCAGAGGAAGTGCCATCCACTTTCACTCCTGGTTTGCAGTGTCAGACAAGCAGAATGGTGACAGATCAGTTGCGGGTCACTCCAAGCCCTTCTGGAAGGAGGGATGCAAAGAAAGTCTTGAAGAAAACCCACACTGTGCCCATCAGTGAAGGGTTTGTCTGCTGCAGCTCTTGTAAGCCTTGTCCCTCATCAGGAAATGCCTCAGATTCATCTGCTCCACCTGCATTCCCCCCCTGACAAAAGAAAGGGTATTTGGTGAATGAGGTCATTTCAGAAACACATTCAAAGAATCAGGTGTCAAATAGCATTTTGTTACCCAAATATCTCTGTCAGAATATAAAAAGCTTACAAGTATCCCCAGACAACCACCACCAAGTCAAAAACACAAGCTGCACACTGGTGTTACTGGTGAACTCTCACAGTGTGTCCAGGAACATTGCTTAGGACAGACATGAAGCACTAGGCTCAGGTGATCTGTGGATTAATTCACAACTTTGCCTGACAGCAGCCAGAAGCATTAGCTTGAAATGCAAGACCAATTGCTTATCAACTTAAATCCTGCCACCAAGACACCAGTCTAAACCCTGCCTTCAGCTACAGAACCTGGGACAGGCCACTCTCCATTACAACATCCTGAAGGACAGAAACAACTAAGTGATAACATTCAGCCTGAAATACTTTGTAAACAGAGTATTTCAAAGGAGGACTCAGGCTGGAAATTCTGCCCAATGGAAGGTAGCTTCTGAGTAAAGTTCAAAGAAAAGTTGCTACTACTATATGTCATTAGTAAGCTGAAAGTAAAACTCCACAGGTTTTCATGCTCATGGTTTAAAAGCAAAATAACCAGACGATACCTGTAAGATATTGTTCTGGTCCTGGTTCATAGCAGCTTGAGGAGGAATGTTGCCTGGGAAGGGCTGAACCAGTCTTCGTCTAAATGGAAGCCATCCAACATGGTGCCTGGGGAAGACAACAGATTTGTATTCATACTACTTAAACATTACTCCTTCCTGTTACACCAACACAGCTCAGAGCTGCAGACAGCAAGGTCAGCATATTAATGTCTTTTTCTGCCCTAACCCAGCAAGCACTTTCAAAGCCTCCTGTTAGCAGCAAGACATGGGGTAGGAGGGGGAAGGCTGAGCATCATTTTGCACTCAGAATAAGCACCACTACATCCACATGTGTATCCAGTATGCTGCCAGAGGTAGAGAGCCTGCTTGGTTACCATGCTCTGTGCACCCTGGAGTAACTTCCCTGTACTCACCCTAAGAAAAGGGGCACAAAGAATATATGACACATAGCACTCTGACCAAAATGTAACAGGCCATGTAGACCTTCTTAAAAGGTCTGTATCTCTACAGCAGAGAGATCTAATACACAAAGCAAGCTGTTCACATTACACTTTAGAACTACCAGCAGCAATTAACCTTCATTCACCCAAGTCTGCACAGAGGTTGGCAGAGCTGACCATTTGAGCTGCTCCAGCTTTAACTCCTAGACATCCTGGCCGGAATTCAGAGGCCTACATCACTTGTTTCACAGGAGATCAAGGAATCTGAGAGAACAGATTATCTTTCTCAGGCCAGACATCCCAAGCACATCAGCTGAGGGCACATTATCTTTATTGTGCTTCTAAGATTTATCCCAACCTTTTCTAATACAATAATAAATATTAACACCATACACTTACAGGTACATCAGGATACTGCCACCCATAACCAGGAGGAATCTGCTAACACTGGAGTAGAAATAGATCATGTTGACAAATACATAGAACAACGTTGCTGAGTAGAGCCAGTCCAACCAATCTCGCTGGCCACCCTCCTCCTCTTCCTCCATGAGGGGACCCCCTTGAGCATTCATTTGCAAGTTCTGGTTGGCTGCTGCGTTAACCTGGGCAGCAGCATTCTGGTTTCCAGGCTGATTTTGTGCAGGAAACGTGTCTGGGAGAGGAGCTGATGTTGTCACTGGTGTCACTGCTATCTCCTGAGAACGTTGTGCATGGGATGGGTCAGCAGATGCAGCAGTAGATGCCAAGCTGAAAAGAGAGAACAAAAAAGTACCGAATAAAGCTTAGTAAAATAATTTCACACTTAACACAGGCACTGAAAGTTCATCTCTAAATAGAGTCAGACCACATGCAAGTAGAAAGCATCAAGTTTAGAGGATACAGAAACCCAAGTCTCTGCCCATGACAATGGTTGCACAGAAGTGACTTCACAGCAAGTCAAACTAGGCATCTCTCACTTTATGAACAAGTTCAATACTTTGCAAAAAAAAAACTCTTGAGCAATCCACAAGTAGTCTGGAAGGCTCTTGCCAGTCTCAGCTTTACCTCTGCTACCAATTTCCAGTCAGTGCCTCTCTGTGCTATGTTAAGCCGTCAAAAATATGAAGAGCTAAGGTTTCTCACCAGGATTACAGTTACTCTGGAGATACATGCCCTCCCAAAAGAATCAGAGCTGCAGTTTGCAAGATTCAAAACCACTGGCCTAAACAAGAAGCCATGCACCACATGACAGGTAGAGGAACATTCTCATACCATTCAGTGTGAAGTTACAATACCAACTACCATCATAGATTCATGGAATAGTTTGGGAAAGGACCTTCAAAGCTCATCTAATCCAACTCCCCTGCAGTGAGCAGGGACATCTTCAACTAAATCAGGTTGCCCAGAACCACATCCAGCCTGGCCTTGAATGTCTCTGGGGATGGCACATCCACCACCTCTCTTAGGCAACCTGTGCCAGTGTTTTACCACCCTCATTGTAAAACATTTCTTCCTCACATCCAGCCCAAACCTCCCCTCTTTTAGTTTAAAACCACCACCTCTCATCCTATTGCAACAGGCCCTGCTAAAAAGTCTCCCCCCATCTTTCTTATTAGGCCCCTTTTATGAACTGAAAGGCCACACTAAGGTCTTCCCAGAGTCTTCTCCAGGCTGAACATCCTCAACGCTCTCAGCCTGTCTCCATAAGAAAGGTGCTCCACCCCCTGATCATTTTTGTGGCCATTCTCTGGACCCTCTCCAACAGGTCCTATCTTTTCTATAGTGAGGACTCCATACCTGGATGCAGGACTTCAGGTGATGTTTATTACTACGGCTTCACATCTTCACCAATACCTTTACATATACTTATTTAATGAGTGGGTGAAAATAATTCGGGCAAGATAAAAAGATACTGTTACTCAGTGGAAGGCAGGGACTGTGCAGTTTGGCCCACTGCACCTCCTCAGGCCAAATGCAAAGCAATTTAAACTGCACACTTAAAATGTGGGAAAGCCTGCCAGCAGTAGCCATAACACTTTAAAACAGGAGAAAACAGTTAAGTCTTATACAAAAGAGAAAGAACTGCCAGCAGCTCTCTATTCCCTTGTATTATAGTTCTACTTCCTACTGGTAGCTTTGGACATAAAACTTACTATTGCATGTAGTACTGTCTAGCATAGATCTGCTGGAACCAGGACATCTGAAGTGTGTTGTAGGTTGTATATGCAGAGAAACCAGGAGCCACACTTTGGAAGGGATGTTGGGTTGTTTCCAGCCTTGGTTAAAATTTAAACATATTAGCAAATACTAGACAAACTGTACAAGTCATTTATTACAGGACAATGTAAACAGCTTCTGCCATTTTGTGCACCCAGATGCAAAATCACGTCTTCCTTCCAGAGCATTAAAGACATCTCTTTACCCACATGAATAAAGGGGAGATTTTTCCAATTAACAGAGCAGTGCATCTTTGTTCAGCTTCTTCCATGTCAGCTAAAGCTTTTATATCAGCTAAAGCTTTTATATATAATTTCACCATCTCTGACCCATGTTCTCTGGGCTTAAGACAATATATGTGGCATAAGCAGCTGGCATCCAACACAAAGCCAATGGTTTGAAAGTCATACTTACCTGTTACTGACTTCTGCTGAAGACTGGCCACCAGAAGAGCATCTCAATCTTTCAACATCTGAGAAAGATACAGCTGGTTCTTTACTATCTTCTGACAGTAACCTTGGCTGATCAGCTTTAACCTAGGGACAGCAATGCAGTAAGGTTTATTCGGGACACTACACTAGCGTTATGCAATGAGGTTACACCTCACAGAACACACTCATTTTATAACTGCTACAAACTTGATACATTTTGTCCTGCACAGCACCTCCAGCGCTGCCTCAGCACTGACACTGCTCTTGGGCTCCATGCTACAGCACCTCCATCAGCATTTTAAAGCTCCTTAAAAAGTGACTGGCACATAAACCTGACTCGCTGTTTCCAGATCTGCACCTGTGTTTGTTACCTTTTACACATACAGTCAGGTCCCATTGGGTTATAAAAACAACTGGAAGAAACAGAGGGAACTGTGCTCAAGACAGTTTGACTTTTAGCTATGGTAAGTTTGTACTTGCATACACAAACCACCAGACACAGAATTCAAGAGCTGTTACATGGCAAACCATCTGTATAATATCCATACCAAAGCTGGCTCACATCTAGCAGCCATCAGACAGGTCGGATTGCCTATAATGGGAAATACAAGCTCAACTCTAGGCACACCAGCACATCCACTTGAAAGTAAAAATTGGGTTTGGCCATTTGCACTGGAGACTGGTAACTACTCAGCTCAAGCACTAAGGCTCAGGCTTTGGCTTCCTCTCCACAGGCTGAGTCATTAATGAGAGCAGTTAAAGTGTCCTCAGCTAACAGCCTTCTCCCTCCCCCGCACCCCAAAGGGAACCACTTCCACTTTAATACCCTGCCCTCTGCCCACAAGCACAGCGTCTGTCCCAAAGAGCCTCAGACCTGATAAGTCATGCTCTGCTTAAAAATGAATTTACCAGAAAGCACTTCTGCTCTGAGCAGTGCTTTGCTACAAGATTATGGTTTCAATATTTCTTAACAGGTGCCGTAAAAACATTTACTGATGAACTGTAGAGTCAATTTTTCTTACTTGGCTTAATCCAAATACATTCTCACACTCCTTACCAAATTGTCACAAAGTAATACCGCCATTACAGAGACTGCAGCACCAGCAAACTTTAGAGCGGCTGTTCAGCACTTCCCATTTTTAGTCACAAGCCCAAGATTCAGCATAGTAGGTTCACCTAGTGTAAGTACCTCTGCATCAGATTCTTGCACATGTGCAGGAGTCTTGAATTTGTATACCAGATGAAGAGCATGCAACTCCCCGTGCTAAAAATGAAAGGGGAGATATGTTCAAAAACCAACTACTTTTCTTGATGTATTAAAGCACATAAAAGGTTTTTTTTATATATATACACACCTTTGGCAGCAACTCTCTCAGATAATGATGATCTAGCAGTAGCTTCCCAGAAAAGATCAGTTTTTGATCCTCTTCAGGCTTTGAAGAAAGAAAACAAAGAACAGTATGACTTGCTCTGCTAATCACATGTGAACATTAATTGACAACTTGCAGCCAGATTGACAGAGGAATGCAGCTGGAAGCACCCTACACACTAAGGTGCATTGTGCACATGGAAATTCAGCCGATGAAAACAAGTCAACGCTGAAGTGCAATATTTACCAACACTGACATCTAAGTCAGGAGGAGGCTATAAAGTACTCCTTCAGCAAAGAACTTAGTTACATGCCACCTCCTTTGGAGTGCCAAAAACATTTGTATTGCTTAAAAGAGACGTTTGAAGTACAACCTAATCTGACCGGCATTGGAAGTGATGGGGTCAAATCAGTGTGTTACACCCCATCAGATGAATCCCAGCAGACAAAGATAAATCCCTGCATCCTTCCCACTGCAGCCCACCAGTGGGTGAAAGCACACTGATCCGTGCCCCTGGGAACTCTCTTCGGGAAAACAAGGCAAAAAGCGACCTCTCTTCGGAAAAACAAGGAAAAAAGCACGTCCCCCTGCCGAGACAGCGCCTGTGGAGTACCACGGAGCTGGGCTCCTGGGGTGCCCGTCCAAAACGAACTCAAGCTTCTACATTCTCACTCCAGGTGAGCACTGACCGGGCCGCCTGCCCTTGGAGGGGTGAAGAGTTTGCGAAGGAAGGCGCCAAGGCAGCTGGGTGCCACCCGCACACCGCTCCCCTGCCGCGGCCCGGGAAGAACCGTTAATGTTTAACAGCGGACGAACCGGAACCCGAGGCCAGCCCCTAAAACCCGCACGCGAAGGGGGGGGGAAGGGAGGGTGGGGCAGCTGATGCAACTGGGTGCTGGACACTTCGGGGAAACGGGGGGGGGAAGCGGTCAGGGCTTGGCCGGGTGAAGGGGGGAGGCCCCCGGAGCGCCCCGCGGGGACGCGG